CATAATAGAGTAAAACACATGAGTCCAGATCTTGGCTCCACCTGAAATAAGTTCTGTGACGTTAAACAACTGATCTTGCCTGTGTCCTCCTCTGTGGAGTAGATAAAAAGAGCCTACTGTATACAGCTATTGTCAGGACTGGGTTAATCATGCAAAATGCTCAAAAGAATACGGCATATGTCTGCTGGAGTAGTTAGTATTCAAAAAACAATAGGTTGTATTATATATATTTTAGCTCTTCAATTGAACTTATTTAGCTTCAGAGTGAGTGTGTGTGTGTGTGTGTGTGTGTGTGTGTTTAATGATTGCATGAGTTTTGTTTTGCTTTAACTAAAGCCAAAGTGAAGTTACTTGATTGAACGTGCATTAGGTAAGTGAAAAAGATGATCCCGAGTACAGAATGATAGAGGTAAGAACGTTCTAGGATTAAAGTGCATCTAATAGTTTTAAATATATTTTTATTGAATTTTTGCATGTTTCAAACACATCATAATCATCTTTATATCCCTTTCCCTATCAGCACCATCCCAGAGCCCTCCCACTGGATTTCATGCATCCTGTCATTTATGTTAAGGCCTATCAAGTCAAGTTAGTGTCCCCTGACATCCATCTGTGCAAGTTCATCCACTGGGGTCTAGTCAGCCTATCTAGAGTCACTCCCTTAAAGAAGATCAGCTCTCCTTCACCAAATAGTAATCAGTTTTTCAATAGTTCTTCAGCAAAGAGTGGGGCCTGTTGCCCAACTCCACAGTTCTATGCTGGGTTTTTGTCTGCTGGAGTTTGTATAGGTCTTGTGCATTCTGTCACCACTGTTGTAAGTTCATATGAGCCAGGTCCCAAGAGCCTGTAGGGCTCTATTTCCATATTGTCATGCATCTCCTCCTCTGGCTCTTATAATCCTTCCACTCCCTCTTCTACAATGGTCCTTGCACCCTGGGTTTATTGTCCTATGTTGCATGAGAGAGCTTCATTGATGAGAGTTGAGAGATGCATTAGTATTCTCTCTGCCCCATGTTCTACTATGTTCTATGAGTCTTAGGTATATAGGTTCCATTATAGATTCATCACTTATGGTTGGACATTTCACAGACAACTCTGTAACAGTCTCTATTGCAAAAGAAGCTTCTTTGTTGAGTGGTGACTGGCATACTTGTCTGTAAATACAATGATCCATATTTAGTACATACTGAGAAATTACATTTGTCTAGGGATGTGACAGCCTTAGGGTTTTCTTTAAAATCTATGACCTCTCTACTCATATGTTTTTGGCTATGTTTACAGTACCACACATGAGTTCCCTCCCATTGAATGGGCTTTAGGTTCAGTTGGGGAGCCAGTACTGCCCCAATATAGTTTTCTGTACCAGTCACTGTTGTGGTTATTAAGCCTTAAAGCTTGGGTTGGACCATCAACTGATGTTCTCCCTGCATCTACTATTAAATATACATGTATACATGCTTTAAAACATAAAATGCATCACTCATGAGCTAATCTACATGCAGATAATTGAGTTGATTTTACATACTCTATGAAGTGATATCCTCTAGGCCCATAAACAGAGATTTCTCACCCAAACAGATGGTAGTGCTGAGAGAGAAAGTTACTAGAGAGGGGAAAATGGCCTTGATTCACTGGTAACCCTCTCTCTATCCCAGGTCCAGAGAAGCTGTTCCCCAATGTCTTTCTCTCCTCAGAGTGCAGCAGGTGAAATAGTGCATGTAGCAGACTTCTAGAAAGTGGGGGCTTCACATGCATCCAAGATAATAACAGAGCCAGTTGGTACTAGACCCCCCCACCCCCCCAACCCCTCCACACACATCTAGAAATGCTGGCTCCTAATCCTGCCAAGTTGAATAGGGCTCTATCTGTGTCTAAGATCCATCACAGGTGGGGGCTGGGAAGAGGGCGTTTCCTATGTTCCATCTAATGAATTAATGAATTAAACAGAGGAGGAGTTCAGAAGCCAGGCTCCCCACTTTTGCTGAAGCACGGCTGATTATGAACTGGCTTAACTACTAGAAAAATGCAGCTCCAGCTAGGAGAATTAGGGACATGGCTGGGTCCATTCATCTTCCTTAAACGAGTTCTTGGGAAATATACATGTAGATTAGCCTCTAACAATGACCCCCGGCTGATTGCTTGGAGTACCCTCCATGGCACCCACAATGGTACTGACTGGCTCTTTATGTCCCACACAAAGGCAGTCCCTAGCCCTCAGGCCTCACTAGTGGCTGTTGAAGCCCTTCCTGCCTTTCTCTTGAGATTCTAATAAACAGTAAATAAAAGCTCATCTCACAGGGACCTATGCAGGGAGTTGGGCAGTTTGAGCAGGAATTAACTGTGGAAAAGGAGGACCAGAGCCCATCGGCAGCTTCTGGGCAGTTTAAGAAATGCTGCCCCTTTGCTTGTGGTGATTATAGAGATGGATTTAATATCAGGAAGGTTTACAGAAAACACATTCTCAGTCAGGAGTGAAACAAATACCAATGAATTCTCCTGGCAGCTGCCTTCTAATTGATTGCTTCAGCACTTCAACCACTGGCTCTACATAACTGGGAGGTAAGACATGTTGGGGGTGCCACCAGGCTGTTTGCAGGATGGGTGGATGCCTCAGTTAGCACTCCAGACGACCTAGAAAGACAGGCTTCATTTGGTCTGTGGAGACCCTCTCCCAAGGCACCTAAGTCTCACTGAATGGTTGGGTACCCAAAGGCTTATCAGACTCCACTGCAGCCATAGGACCCAGCCTTTCTGTAGGGGATTAAAGACAGGTCCCAGGTGAGAGGAAGCACTTTGATTCAATTCAAAAAATTTAAACTGCAATAATAACCATCAGCAAGATGCAGCCAGAAACCATAGGACTAGGAGTCAGCTGATCAGAGTTCTGGTCCCACCCCCCTCCCCTTTTCCTAGCTATCTCATTATGAGCCTCAGTTTCCTCTTCTGAAAAAAACAAGAGCCAACAGTCCTGCCCTGCTCACCTCACAGGGTTTCCAGGTTCAGAGGATGAGAAAAATGTAAATGGTTCTGAAATCTCTAAAGTGCTATTAATTTTCATTAACAGCTCTTTCTTTTTTGTAATGTTTATATTTTACTGGTGCTGGGGAGCAAACCCAGGACCTGATGCAATGTTAGGCAAGTACTGTACCGTAAGCCATATCTTCAGTCCTAATAAACTTTTCTTAAATTTAAACTTCCTGAACTGAGTACTTCAGTTTCAAGCCACTGCCAGGTAATTTGCTTGCCCCTTTTCTTTATATTTTTACAATTTTACTAAAAATAGAACTGATAGTGTAATTAGCTACTCAAAACTCCCTACATTCAAGGAGGTGCTTCCCCTGTTTATTCATTTGTCCCATCTCACAAATTGGAAGGCAAACTCCTCAAAGCCAGCTGCGCTGGTCTTTCCTCTTAGTTTTTCATTTTTTGTTGATTTTTTGTGAATTTCATACAATATATTTTGATCATATTTAGATCCCCTCCCTATCTGCACCCTTCCCTTACTGTGTGACAAGCAGGACCAGCCACCGTTAGCTCCGCAGGGGGGATGGAAAATGTTTGCGTCCAAATGGGGAGGAAGGAAGATAGATCCAGAAGAGGCCGCCAGGGTGGAGATCGGAGAGCCCAGAAAGAAGAGAGTTGGGATGTGGGTCCCAGTTGGGGTGTGATAGGGGACGCTTCCGTGGAAGCGTTTTCGTCACATTCAGGTGAACACTTCGAGGGAGGCTGAGCACCACCTGGGGTCTTGGCCTAGGCTTCCAGAGGTGCGGTGTACACAGTGGCCCATCAGCGGCCTGACCCCCACGACGATCATCCTTCCGCTGAGCCTTTGAGTCGCTCTGGGTCAAGCAAGCCTCTAGGGGCCCTCCAGGGGGAAGGAATTCAAGAGGATTAGAACGCTAACGCTCAGGGAAGTGCAGGAGGGCCTTCTCCTCAGGCGAAGGTCTGTCTGTCTCTGCCAGTTTGGGGTCATCTCATAGGTGTGAAGTGGGGACGGAGTAGTCCATCACCGTGGTTCAGTTAAGAACCCTATCCTTTCAGGATAACTCTCGAGAAGAATTTCTTGTGAACCCTGAGATCTTCAGCATTCATGGCTTCCCACATCGGTCACTGGTTCTACAAGCACAGATGGCCCCACCACCGTTTGGGGTTCCCGCTGGACTGAGGGAAGGCTGCCTGGGGAGAAGGTAGGCACAGAGTAGTTTAAACAGACACAAGCAAAGACGGGGAGAGGAGTAAGGGGGAGGAAGAGGAAGAAAAGAAAGAAGGAACACACACACACACACACACACACACGAACGGTATTTGGGACATCGAACCACAGAAACTGAGAGAGGAGTATAAGATGTGAAAACGAGAAGAGATTGTGGTCAGACTTCCAACGCCTGGGTGTAACTGGAAAGCCTTCGACTGGGCTGGGAACTTCCGAGTGCCGTCGGGCAGGCCAGCTCTGCGGAGGAGGTAAGCAGGAGAGCACAGGTGAATCCAGAGAAGGGACAGGTGAACCCTGGAAAGTCAGTCCCACTGAGGCAGTACTCGGGTGAGAGAGATCGCCCGCTGAGGGCGGGGAGGCGTCCCCTCCTGTCGAACTTCCTATCCCCAGTACTTGGAATGTGTTTCTGGCGTTGAAAATGAATGAAGATGTCAAGAGGAAGGGCTTCCCGAGTGCCAGCTAGGACCCGAGGCGGACCGGGGGAAGGACCCGCCCCTCTATAGGGGGAGGGGCCGAGGGAAAGGACTGGGACCCGGGGAGAGAGAGGAGGAGCCTGGGGCGAGCGAGCTTCTGTCTTTTCGCCCCCGGAGTCCCCGCTACTCTGAAGTCGAACTTCCAGCTGCTGCAGCGCAGTCCAAGCTCTTGCTTACCTCCAGAGCTCCAGCGTGAGCAGCCGTGCCCGCTGGGCTTGACATTGGTCCGACCTGTCTTGTGCCCATTCTAGAAGTACACAGTAGAGAAAAGCCGGCGTCGAGCCTCAGTCTGCAAAGCGCACGCCCGCCTCTTCATGCACCTGCCGGGCTGCGCGCCAGCCATGGCCGAGGGGAGCTTCTCGCTCGCTGGCCACCTGCTCCGCAGCCCAGGCGGTAGCACGTCGCGGCTGCACAGCATCGAGGCCATCCTGGGGTTTACCAAGGATGATGGGATCCTAGGTACGTTCCCAGCAGAACGCGGTACCCGGGGCCCAAAGGAACGGGATCCGAGACTGGGTGCACGGCCTGCCTGCCCTAAGGCTCCGGGAGGAGGCGCAGAACCGTCCCCACCGCCAGTCCCGGGGCTAGTGCCCGAGTACGAAGGTGAGTGCGCAACCCGGCTCTCAGGCACTTGGAGCGCTCTGCAAGAGGAGAGCACCCCTTCCTTAACCTTTAGATAGGCTACTGGTTTGGGGTTTGGGGGCTGCCCAACTTGAGATCAGAAAAAGCTTAGGGACCCCTTGCAGCTTCCATCCCGGATCTCCCCAGGCCAATTCAGGCTCCACCGGTAGCCAGGGACTGCAGGTAGGTGAAATCGCCTCAGCGATGCTCCATAGCGTGTCTCTGACCTCTGGGGCCTCTTCCCCCAAGCTTCTCGCCCCTGCTGCCCCAAGGAGCCAGGAGAGGCACGGCCGAGCCCCGGGGTGTTGGTTGGACCAGCGACAGGCGACGCAAAGCTGTCGGAGGAGGAACAGCCCAAGAAGAAGCACCGACGGAACCGCACCACTTTCACCACGTACCAACTGCACGAACTGGAGCGAGCGTTCGAGAAGTCCCACTACCCTGACGTGTACAGCCGCGAAGAGCTGGCCGGCAAGGTCAACCTACCCGAGGTTCGGGTCCAGGTAAAGGTCTCAGATTGATGGACCGGGACCTGGGAGGGTCAGAAACAAAACTGCAGCCGGTGCTTCTTTGGATCCCGGGCGTGGCCTTGTTTAGGACTTTACCACCACAGTTTGGCTCGCTCAGAGCTCAGGAGCAGCGTCTAAGATCTTCAACTTTCTCCACGTACCACCCTTCGAGGAATATAATTTATAGAAAAATGTACCTTTGGAGCCTCCCTCTTTAAAAAAGGAAAAGTTGCAAATGTCTTGGGAGACTGAGAGGTTGACAGTTCATTAGATGCAGTCGGGGTGGAGTTGGGCTGTGCTGGGCACAAAGTGAACTGAAGCATAAGAGCAAGGGCCCTGGGGGCAGCTGATGGAGGCCCCAAAAGCCACCCTTGTCACCAGCTGTAGAAAATGAAAACCTCTTTTCCTTGAGAATGGTGATTGAAACTTTCTGTGAATTTAAGAAACTGACTTTTCCTTCTCTGTTCTACCTCTAACCAACCTTCACCCTCCAGAAGACCTTTTCATTTTATTGTGGAGAGGTTTTTTTCTTTAATTAAAGCTGAATTATCTTTAATCCTCAATCATTAAAATATTTGGAAGCCTTAAATATTTGCTAGTCGTCTGTGAAAAATCTGGGAGGACTTCCAAATTGGGGGAGTCTAAAGAGGCCAGAGAGGGAGACACTGGAAACCAATTTCAATGCGTTTGAGAGGAGGCGGAACTAAGATGGAGTATTTGTGTGTGATAAATTGGATTTCCAGGCAGTAAGAATACTCGGGAGTCTGGGCACTTTTAGCTGTGTCTTTAGAGTAAACCTGGGCAAGTTCCCGCCTTTTGTCTTTGTGCTTGGGTTAGGTTGAAAGTAAAAGTCATGGTTTTAAAACCCCAACTCCCTAACATAATTCAGGATTAACTAACCAAAGACAGTTCAGGTTCTCCTTGTTCAGAACTGTGCATCTATAGATTTCATTAACGGCTGGAAATTGTAGCACTTATTGTCTAGGGAGGAGAGAGGGATGGTTAGGAAGAAGGAAGAACTTAAGATGAAGACAGGTATCATCAGCCGCACAGCCCTAGGTAATGGATCCATACTGGACTAGAACTGATGTTGCAGGGATGGAGCAGAGAGCCAGGGAAGCTCAGGAGGAGAACGTTTCTCTTTTTCTACTCTGCAAATCTGTCTTCTGGTGGCTGAGTCCTCTGACAAACCTTGTGTAGAGATACTTAAATTTTTGTTCTCTTTTTCTTCCAAGTTTGAGATTCACACATAGTTGGCCCTCCTCCACCCAGCCCAGATTCTGGGTTTCTGCTTTCTGGGCTCTCCTATTGCTAAGGAATCGCTTTCCCCATAGGTACTTGCAGCTATCTCCACACTCATAAATATAACCCTGGGGCCACCCGTTTGGCCAAAGTTCTTTCATAATCTTCATTGAAAGAAACCGACTCTCGGTTTTGCTTATGAGCAGGATATAGTGGTAAAACACTGCTGGCATTCTTTCTGGTGCTTTATTATCAAATCAGTAATGGAGAATCCAGAGGAAGAAACAATAGAGATCTTGGCAGGGGCTTTTCCTATGTGAAAAAGAGGGGGGGGGGATCCCTTGTACACAACATTCCCTAACATATAGGGAGAATGGCAAAGCTCCATAATGTGAAAATAGATACAACACACTTAAACAACTGTAGTCTTTGAAAGCAATTTATAGAAGTCCCAGAAATACTAAACAGGTACCTATGAAATAAAGATGAGAATTTATTAGAGTAACAGTTGAAATATACATGGGATAAAAGAAACCTGTTTGCTTTTATCTACTTAGCATAACCAGGAATCTGCAGAAACAATTGCACTTTAACATGTGCACTGCCAACATGCAGTATACTTATGTTTATAATAGAGAAAGGGAACTAGTGAAACACAGAGGGGCTGAGGCAAACACAGCAATAGAGACCTGCACCACACAGCGAGCAAGGTCCCAGACTGAAGTGTCAGAGAGGCCACCACCCAAGAGTTCCCAGAAGTTTGGTGAGATTTGCTTTCAAAGTCCTGCGGTCTAACTGCAGGGTTAAATTCACTTTTTCCATTTTCCCTGAGCATCTGGAAGCAGATATAACCATAGCCAAGGGTGAGATACACAGGAGAAGGGGTGAGGATGCTTTGAAGGACTGGAGTGAGACTGGAAGACACCCACACCAGGGAGGCAAGAGAGAAGGAAAGAGACAAAAAAAAAAAAAAAAAAAAAAAAAAAAAAAAAAAATAGAAAGAAAATGTATGCATAAGAAAAGAAAAGAAACAGGATGGAATCAAAGGTGAGGGTTGAGGAGGGACCAAGGAGGTAAAAGAAAGCTCTGACTCCTTTTAGCAGTGGAATACTCAGTCCCAGTGTTCTTTGGGGATAGAGTGGGGTCAAGCTGGCAAGCCGGCTCTGGGCTGGGATGGCACTCCAGCTTGCGCCATAACCAAAGGCCTCTGGGCTTCCTCTGGCAGGTGTGGTTCCAGAACCGACGGGCCAAATGGAGACGGCAGGAGAAGCTGGAAGTGTCCTCCATGAAGTTGCAGGACTCGCCCCTCCTCTCCTTCAGTCGCTCCCCACCGTCGGCGGCTCTGGCCCCCCTCGGGCCTGGCCCAGGCAACGGTGGCGGACCTCCCGGGGGCGCCCTGCCGCTGGAGTCCTGGCTCGGGCCGCCGCTGTCCGGTGGGGGTGCCACGACCTTGCAGAGCCTGCCCGGCTTCGGGCCGCCAGCGCAGAGCCTGCCCACCAGCTACACGCCGCCGCCGCCGCCGCCGCCGCCGCCGCCGCCCTTCCTGAACTCCCAGTCGCTGGGCGCGGGCCTGCAACAGCTGGGGCCCCCGCCTCCCGCCTACCACTGCGGGCCCGGCTTCGGGGACAAGTTCTCGCTGGACGAGGCGGACCCGCGCAACAGCAGCATCGCTGCCCTGCGTCTGAAGGCCAAGGAGCACATCCAGGCCATCGGGAAGCCCTGGTAGGCCCTCTAGAGGCGCTGGGGGACGTGCTGGGAGCTGGCTTCGAGCCACGTGCATGTGCCCCGGGGGCACCCCTTTCTCTTTCACGGTCCTGTCCGCAAGCATCCGCCCAAGGGACACTGGCACCTGCTCCTGACGCTCAGGGAAGGGCCAACCTTGAGGCCAGCGGAGCTCCAACCTGCTGCAGAGACTGTGGGCCCTGCTGGTCACGATGCGCGCTTGAGCATCAGAGCCTACTGGCCTAGGGAACCAGAGATCTTGACCTTGTATGTTCCAGGCGGAAAGAAAGGAGAGTCCGAAAAATAGCTTAGAAACTGTTTGTAAACTTAGTTTGGAAAATATTTTGGGGAAAAATTAAAGTTTTCTGTATTGGATGTAATATTAAGCGTGCTCTCGGACTGCGGAGAGAGGGTTAAGGTAGGGATGCCGGGAAGCCCCGGTTATGAACCCCGTGCACAGGGTGGCACAGGAGCTCCTGAAAATTCTGGGGACTCTGATGTAGTAGAGAATCGTACCGGTCCAGGACGGGGCAATTCACTGTCCTTCCCAGGTGCTGACGGGCTTGTAGGAGGTCATCAGTCTACAGCTTAGCTGCCTAAGTCTTCCCACGTTTCTTTTTTTATTATTATTATGCAATAGCCGGGCTGCCATTGCTACTTTGACCCCAGTACCAAACGTGTACACCTTCCAAATTGACACCGAGGAGTCCCTAGACATCTCCCCTTTCCAATCTACCTTGGCCGTAGGGCCCTCTCAGATTACTTCTAGTCACTGACCTGGTGCCAGCCCTTGCCCAGAGTGATGAAATTGGTTCAAACACTGAAGCCAAGAGACTTTTTTGACTCCTCGGGCTCTCTTCTCTGCCCACCTCGCTCTGCATCCGCCAACCTAGAGTTGGCGCATAAGATGCGCCCCAGGCCTCAGAGCTCGCAAGGAGAGCCCTTGCAAGGAGGGCTCTTCCTCGCCCACGGCTCCTGGATTGCATCTGCAGTTCTGTGGCTGTGGTGCAAGGAAAGAATCCCTGGGTCTCCGTCAATTTCAGGCCACTATGTCACCCGTTGACCCTGGAGACTGGACCACTGTCCGTGTGGCATGGGTTCTTCAACCCCCACCCCGCTTGTGCATCCGGGAGCTTGTGGCTTGGAGCTTTAGCTTTGACCAGTTGCTGTTCGTGGGTCCCTAGCATATTAACGAGTCTCTCCAGTTCCCTTTCCTCTTCTAAATAGACCCTGGCTCTCCAGGTGTGAAAGGCAAATGGAATCACCGCTGAAGGTTTTTCGTTACCAAAAAAGGAGGTGGAAGGCATCGCGCCAGTTGTGGCAGTTCCTCTGGCTCAGCAGGATTCCTCAGATGCTCTGGGTTCTAGACACTGACTAGGGAAGTGGGGAACTATCCCAAGGCTGGCTGTAGGAGGGCAGTGGCAGGATTCAGTACTTGCCCTGTGGGTCCTGAGATGCTAGGGCAATGTATAGTCAGAGCTGGTATCCCCAGATCTCCCCAGAGTAAATGGTAAGAAATAATTGTTTTCTCCAAGATGTAAGGAATAGTACCTGTAGGTTCCCTCCAGGGAATGATAGCAGGTCTTAGCAAGAAAAAGGAGCATTTGTACAATGAATGTGCATGTCAGCTTCTTTCAGTTTGTCCTACCTTCTATTACATTCTTTAATGTCCTAGTTTTAAATTTATTTGTGGGGGGGGGTTGGTTCTTATATGGAGGTCAAAGGACAAACTTGTGGGATTCTGAGGTGACGCTCAAGTCCTTAGGCCTATATGCTAGCACCTCTGCCCACTGAGAGTCTCACAGGCCTATGCCCTAGTGTTTTGTTGTTGCTATTTTTTTTAAGATTCTAATTTTATTTTATGCCTATGGGTGATTTGCCAGAATGTATATATGTGTACTATCCGCATGCCTGGTGCCCACAGAGGCCAGAAGAGGGTGTCAGATGCCCTGCAACTGAAGTTAGAGATGGTTGTGAGCCACTATGCAAGTATTGGAAATGGAACTGGAACCTGTGTTCTCTGGAAGAGCAGCAAGCTCTTAACTGCTGAGCTATTTCTTCAACCCCATGCCTTAGTTTTAATAGAAACAGTTTATTTCCACTTCACTGACCCCAGCTCAATTGTGCTTGCTTAACCCACCTTCTGCTAACCCCCATTCCTGGACATCTGTGACCATGCTGGTCCCACCACCAGCATCTTCTTCGATGTTCTTAGTTCATCTCCATGAATATTCTGTGTCTCCTTTCTGTTGTTTTTTACATGCTTCTTTTTTCCTTTAGTGACTGTGGAGAGCTTACTCCCAGGGTTTCTTAAACATGCACTGTGATCATGACTGGACTGCCTACTCCAGTTCTGTTAGGCAGCTTACTCAACCAATGTGTTTAATTGGGGTTACTTACAGAAGCAGGAGTAACTTATGGGCAGCTACATCTTTGAAAAACTCTCTCTCAGCAACTGTTAACATACTTGGGGAGGGACCATGGGCCCTTGTCATCCCCACCCCACGGCAGAGAGTTAATGGGCCCAATTTTGTGCAGGTCTTCTGCAAGTAATTATAGCTGCTGATAGTTCAAGAGAGCAATTGCCAAGTCATACCCAGAAGACAGTGTCCCAACAACACAAATAGTGTAAACTAAGACAATATCTTTGTGCCTCAATTTCCTCTTTTATTAAACAGGACCAATTGTGCCTTCCTGATAGGGTTGTTGTGGGGCCTGAGTAGAGGCAATTCTCTTAGAGGAGTGAGTGCTTGTGCATGAGAGGCCATCAGTGACCATTAATATTTGTAATATTTGTGTGTGTGTGTGTGTGTGTGTGTGTGTTATGGAGCTTGAACATGCTAGATAAGTACTCTACTACTGAGCAATAGTCCTTTTCAAGGACTTCTCTCTGAAATCTGAGAATGGGTTACTGTTAGTCCTAGAGAGATGGCTTAGGAGAGCATTCATTCTCCCATGAAACTTTATGGTAGAGTAAGAAGGGGCAATCATAGAAAATATGTTTGGGAGGAAGAATGGAAAACTAACTCACAGCCCTGAGCTCTCCTTATTTCAACTCCTAAAAAGAGCTTGGGAATTGAGATCCTGAAGGGTGGATGCTAGTTGTGTGTGTGTGTTGTGGTTCCTTCTGGGAGATTTAGATGCACCCTCATCTCTTGGCAGTTCTCAGATCTAAGAGTGGAAGATTTACTGGCCACCATAGGAGCAAGGGCACAGGTGGGACAGGAATCCAGTACTTAATTGGGGGTGACAGCAATTTGTCACAAAGAGCACTAAAACTCCAGGGATCTTGAAAACTTGAACCAAGGCTCAAGTTCAGGCTACAAGAATGCACTTGGCAGGTCACAGAGGCCCTGGCCAAGGTGGGGCAGTGGGCTTCCAAATTTGAACTGCTGGCTCTGGGGCTTGGGATTGATAGGTTTCAGTGACCCAGAGAAAAAGGTCTCCCCGGGTAGGTCCCCAAGAACTGGTGTCACCTAGTTTGTGAAGCTTCCATAACAAGACTATAGGTTTGGCTCTAGGAGGCCATTAGTGTCTAAAGGGAAGCAAGAACCAGTTAGGAATGGTCTTACTGGGTTCAGAGGAAAAAGGCTCTGTGCCATTCCAAGCATTGATACCTAGGCTGGCTCCAATCAATCAAAGAGGAAGGCCTTGGAAAACCCTTCCCCACCCCCACCTTCCTGTCTCCCTCCCCTATTTCCCTCAGTCATCCCCCCATCCCAAAGACAAGTCTCCTCTGTCCAGAGAGCCCAGTCCTGCAGGTCCATACAGCACTGAGCACTTTTCCACTTTGGGTCATGCAGTTGGCTAGAGTGCTGAGCCTGGTGGGGTGGAGAAGAATGTGTCCCATTGGACCACTTGGAGATATGGAGTCATAAGGATGACTGCCCACCCCAACCCCCAACTGTGAAGACCAGGGTTATGGATATACACTGCACATCATGCCTCTCAGCTTCTATTGGTGGTGCCTGCTGCCCAATTTCTCTCCAGGTGTAGGCTTCTTCTAGTGGCAGGTCTTCAGAGTCTCAAGGCCCAGAGGGCAGCTATGAAGTAGAATCCCCCTTGCTTGGTGTCCTGGGGGTTCTGTGCTATGGCTTCATCAGATACCAGGCAGTACCTATCTTGGTTTCTGGCACTGAGAACCAGGTCTTGGCCTGGTACATCCTAGCCTGTGATTGTAGATGGGGTAGTCTGGAGTGGGTGGGATGGGATTAAAGGGACTGGGATTTGACCAGAGGTTGGTATAATAAAGTGGGAACACACTCTATTATTCTAAGCATTTATTTAATATTTGGAGATATGGGAAATGTCAAACTAGGGAAGAGGGTCCAGTGTGTACTCCACCCTCTGCTCAGTTCATCTAGAATCTGGTAAGGTGGGGGAAGGAGTGCCAATCTCCCTCTCTAGGTGGGTTATTGAAAGTCTCTGCAGCAGCTGCTCTAATCCAAGCCCATGTGTGCAGGCTTCCAATCAGCATATACCTCCCCCAAATAGTGTACAGTAAGGACCTTCAGACTGCAGGCCCTACAGCCCCAGGCATCTGCCTTTGGTGATGTTCCACTCATCCACCCTAGTCTCCTAACCTCACTTCCAACCTCACCCATCCCACTCCTTTGGCGCCATTGAAAGTGTTGCTTTCCACCAACACTCCTGTGAAGGGGAAGGCTGAAAAAGACTTCCAGGGGAGACAATATTAATTAAAAGAAGTGACTGTCCACACAGGTACTGTATCAACCAGCCTGAGAAAGGCAAAGCAGCCAGCACCAGGCAGGGGTGCCCAACTCTTCCAGAGGCCGGTGTTATGCTTTGTAGCCAATGTCATTCCCTTAATTGAGGACCAGTTCTTAATAATCTGGGCTTAGCTTGTTAACTGTACAATAGTGGGCAGAATTAATGACTCATTAGCAATTAATTCCTTAACCATGACACAATTGCTCACTATAAAACCTCTTTCCTAAAACTGGATTAAATCATCTAGATCCTTGGCTATGAAGGCTGTGGCTC